CCTGGAAATTAGTACTGTGGCGGTCACTTTTACACAGGTAAGATCAATAAATCTAAATTTTGCTCTTTGTATAAATTACCAATGAAAGAACTACAAAAACATATTAGGCAATATGAGGAGAGCAGATACAGTCCACATTTGAAACAAAGAAAGTCATTAAGTCAGCGAGTGTAGAGAGATAAACAGAGTGGTTTATGTAATGTATTTCACTGCCTCATAAACTCCAGCCCCATACTCAGCAACTCAATGCTTTTGTGGTGAGGCTTACAGTCCAACACCCTCCCAAAATCTGCACACATCCTCTTTCTGCACGTTAAGTTGCTAGGGGTCCTCGTTCCAGCCTTAGCCTCTTTAAGAATGTTTTTGAGAGAAGAAAAAGTAAAATGTGGTGGTTTCGTCTGAGTGGCTTAGTGTGCAGTCTGCGCAGAAACACAAATGGAGAGCGAGCCTCCCTCACCCACTGCAGCAATTTCATTTCAGAGTGGGGATCGAGGGTCTTACTGCAAAAGCACCCAGCTGTGTCTAAACACGTCACTACATGGGAAAGTTTAAGGCAAACTTTCAGAGATCTGTTCATGTTTGACAAATCTTCACACCACGGCAGAATATGGATGTCAGCCGTTTGGAGTGCTAAATACGGTTAGGTTCATAAACAGTTCGGTTTTGAAAGAAATTGACAACCATCTGTATCCTATAACCAAAGTGACTACTTCACACTTACAGTTGTCACATCTGAATTCAACATCGAGTTCGGTTGATGTGTGAGCAGAACTACAGACGGTAAAAAGTGGAGTGTGTACTATGTAGGCAGAGAACAAGATATAAATCCTTTTAAAGGAACAGTTCAGCCAAAAAAGAAATTTGCTGATTTTACTGATTCTAAAATGATTTCTCCGGCAATACAAGGTGCTTCTTCATAGGAACAGATTTGGAGAAATGTAGTATTTCATCACTCGCTCCCCAATGGATCCTCTGCAGTGAATGGGTGCCGTCAGAATGAGAGTCCAAACAGCTGATAAAACATCACAATAATCCACAGCACTCCAGTTCATCAATTAACATCTTGTGAATCGAAAAGTTGCATGTTTGTAAGAAACAAATCAATCATTGTGATGTTTTTAACTTCTGTCCAAAATATCAGTCCATAATAAAGGACAACAGGGGATGGACTTTTTTTTACTGGAAAAGGCATTATTTTTTCTTAAAACACACAGCCTTTTGTTTTTTAAGACATTAATTGATGGACTGGAATCTTGTGGATTTCTTGTTGATTATTGTGATGTTTTTATCAGCTGTTTGGACTCTCGTTCTGACGGCACCCATTCACTGCAGAGGATCCTATGGTGAGCAAGTGATGTAATGCTACATCTGTTCTAATGAAGAAACAAACTCATCTACATCTTGAATGGCCTGAGGGTGAGTAGATTTTCAGCAAATTTTCATTTTTGGGTAAACTACTTCTAAGTGTCTGGGCAGACAAGGTAACTGGGAAAAACAAGATTTTTGACTCATCTATAGTAAAGTCAGAAGGAGTTGCCAAAAATGGTTTAGATTAATCAAACTAAATCAAAACAATACAAAAACTTGATGTTTACTGTGGTTATATCCATCACTTATGGTTACAGGTACGACTCAAGACCAGGCCTGTACAGAATCTGCAGACTTTTTTCTGGAAAGAAAAATCTGCTAAACACAGCTGAGATGATCAACTCACTTGCCAAAATACTTCATAAATATAACTCAGGTAGGTTCCAATATTGTGAAAATCAATTAAACTGAATCTGTGCGGGCCTGCAAGTTTAAAAAAAAAAGTATTCATTTTATTTTCTGTTGTATGTACAGTACAATTTAGTGTCACATCTGTTAGTAAATACAGCACAGTTGTCAAACCCAAATATTGAATGCGTGACTGGACACTCTTTCCCGGTCTGTTTTTCTGAAACGGCATGTTCGTTGGATATACCATGAACAATTTGGGATGATTTCGAATTTGTATGTAAGGCTTAAATAGACTAAAAACCCTCCTTCAGATCTGTAAAGGAGTTATAAATGTGTGGGATGTGTACTTCGGGAAGGCACTGAACTTTTCGGTTTGAACACAAAGCAATAGAACTGTACCCATGGTGCAGTGTGCAATAAAAAAGGACATTATGGCATCATAATAAACAAACTGATGAATTGGTTGTGGGATACCAGTGAATCTTTATCATACACAAACACACATTGACATACCTTCTCAAAACTTTCTGTCACTGGGACTGTGATGGATTCAGAAGTCTCACAAAGACGAGTCAGGTTAGCATTTCCTCACTGAAATGTAAAAAGAGACCTTCCCCGGGTGTTCTCTCTTCCACTAAATGATTCTGCTGACATCCAATCAGCTGGTTTCTGGTTTTCTAAAGAGGACGAAGCAGCAGAGATTATGAGAGGGGAAAATGGAATGCAATTTTTGCCAGGGATTTTCTGGTCAGAATAATACATCGGAAGTGCTGAAGTCTTTGAAAACTCTTCCTTTTATCAGCTACGCGAGTTCATCTGAGGAGAGAGAGAGAGAGGACAGGTAAGAGAGAGAGAGGACAGAGGACAGGTAAGAGAAAGCGAGAGAGAGAACGGCATGAATGAGAAAGTAAAGTGATGGCTGTGGGATAGAGATAGTGAGGGAGTTTTTTGGGGGGGGGTGAATTGTGCACATCACACTTCTTCCATCCTCGGTGGAATTCTAATGGCTGTGGCACCGAGTCGAGGCTTTTATGGGAGATATCAGAACCGCTGCACTTTTCCAGGTTAGACACGACCTCCTCCACCTACAACCACAAGATTTCTGAAGCCCCGAGAGACGAGGAGGCACAGGAAAGAGTGAGAGACAGAATAAAAGATAGTAAGCCGTGACATTCAGAACGAGTCAGAGAACTAATGAGGACAGCTAAACGTCCAGGGTTTTTACCACACCGCTGCAGCGTTAAAGCGATAGTTCACCCAAAAATGACAACTCTGTGATCATCTACAGTAGGCCTACTCACAGTCATGTTGATCTAAACCTGTGCGGTTACAAAAATAATCTTCACTCAGCTTGTCATATTTATATTGAACATGTTTCAAAACAAAACAAATAGCATAGTCCATACACGAAATTATGAGCTTAATGTGAGGAAAAGATTTGATGTGAAAAACCTGATGTGATGCACCAAATTTGATTAGAGAAAAGATGATGCAGTAAATAAGGATTTACAATAAATATCAGTCTGATCGCAATATACAGTTGACAGAAGACAAAGAAATAAAATATATGGACTACTTTTATGGTTTGTTGTTGCTGCTGCAAATTATGTTATTAATCATGACATCACAATAAGCATAATTCTTTTAAAAATAGCATAAAATTGACAAAATATTCAATATTTTGTTCATTGAAATAAATCTGATATATAATTATAAATATTATATAAATATTATAATTTATATATTATATATATATAATTATAATAATAATATAAATATTAGATAGAAATACTTGAAACAGAAATATTGCCTTGACATCTAAATTAAATTACTTTGTTGAAGTACTCAAATAAAAAATAAAGCTAAATAGAAATATTTAAATAAAAAAATATGAACCCACCCAAACTACTTAAATTAAAAGGAAGACTGAAAATTTTAAAAAGCTCATTTCAAATATGTATACATATTATAATAGTGCATTTAAAAAAACATTTAAGGGTTATGAAAAAAAATTTATCAAAACAGATGACATTTTTATTTACAGAAATTCTCCATATTGATTGTAGGAAGACTGAAAATTTTAAAAAGCTCATTTCAAATATGTATACATATTATAATAGTGCATTTAAAAAAACATTTAAGGGTTATGAAAAAAAAATTATCAAAACAGATGACATTTTTATTTACAGAAATTCTCCATATTGATTGTTTTTTAAGTTCTTAAATGTGACACATTTGAGAGGGCAAACGATCATTTATTACACACGATATCAAAAACAAATTATATCAAGAACTGACATCAGTTGGACACAGTTACAGGTTTAATTCACTGTAAACACACACATACAGAATGAGAAAAATCACAGAATTACTTATGTGAATAATATTGCCTACAGTATATCTAACACTTCAGAGTAGTAGTGGACCAAACAAAACAACCTAAACCCAGCGGCACAGTAAACCATAGGTTTACACCTCAATCCAGAATCAATACGGGTCTCAGCAGATCATTTCCCCAGATTTCATGTCGATGGGTCTTAAAATTACATGAATAACAACCCCACCGGCAGTTCATTAAGTTCCTTAATTAGACTGCACATGTTTCATCACCTCAGTCTGCAGTCACAGTTCTGAAGGAATCCTTTTCTCCTGAAATCTCCTGTGTTTGTCTTGGTACTGTAAGCCAGATTAACACGGAGGGATGTCGAAAAATCATAAAAATAGCTGTACAGAAATGACTCCTGCTTTGCTGTAATCTCTTTATTCATAGACTTTATTCATGTCATATTTCATTTGGAATGTCACCGTCACAGTCAAATAGGTTACTTAACTGAAAAAAAAAGTCTATTTTGGCCGCACTTGAAAACACCACACTTTACATGGCTTTCCAGTGCTGTTTAGCTGGGATTGGAAGTGTCTGTCAGTAAAGCTTAACGTCTGAGTGTATTTGTGTGACCCTTGGCTACATTCGCTCTGACAAGCTAGGACTCGTGTAATGTCGCGCCTGTCGCTCCAAAAAGCTTCTAGAGAAACCCGGGCACTGGTGAGGGAGGGAATTTTCACGCATTTACAATAGGAAAACACATACACAACTGCATAGTGACAAATCTCGACAGGAATATTCATAAAAGCACGTCCATCCGGGTTCCTAAGGCATCGCAGGCTTGTTTAACCCATATTTCTTCCTCGGGCACTTGTGCCCTTGTTTTCTTAAGGCCACTGCGTGTGATATCGAACTTCCATTCATCCCTTTCTTTTCCGTATCCCTCTTCGCTCCTCTTCTATCCCCACACAGACTTCTCTGTATTGGAGAATTGCAGTTGGATGGCTTCACCGCTCTTCTTGTTGCCCTAGAAACAGGAACAAGGTTTTGAAAACGCAGGCGAAATGGGAACAAATCGCTGAACGCGAGCGCGACAAATGTACACAAACAGAGTGCAGAATCGGCCTCTTCATCACGGTCGCCTCCCTTTGAAAAGCCTGCCCTGCAAAGGCCAAGGACGGTCCGCGGACACCGCGCGTTACCAGGACAACCAGCGTGCAAATCAAACAGCTAGGTCTGTTAAACAGAAAGACAAATGACCTGCAACTGCCTCTGTATGGCACAGATTTCTGGAACGCTGTTATTCACACATAAGTTTGGTTATGAAACCTAGTTTCCTACATAGACAGTATTTTAATGCATCACCGGCACGCTCCCTACGCAAAGCCTGTTCTAAAAGGTAGCCAACAATAATATCCTGCATTTTAAAAAATCTTTTTGGCAAGCACAGTGAAAAATCCATCAAGATGGCAGATCCCTTAAGCGGAGCGTAACGTTGACTAAAAATGTACGTTGCATTCAAAACTGAAAGTTTTAATTGCACTATTTTACCCAATATTTGTGTGTTGTTTATTTCTTAATAGCGTATTATCAATATTTTGTGCCATCAGCTTAGCAAATTCCTTGCTAAATTCCTTACAAGCAAGGGCGTGTCTACGTGGTGGCACCGGCCCCCCCTGAAATTTGGCTGGACACCCCAGGTGCCCCACCTACCAGATGTCTTGCGATAGGCTTGTTTTTAGTAAATTTCTAACTGCATCTGGCAATGAGCCTATTTTCAAAAATAGTGGAGTGTTCCTTTAAGGTTATATGATCCTTCAGAAATCATTCTGATATGCTGATTTGGTGCTCAATTATTATCGGTGCCAAATTATTCTTTTTATTATCAGTGGCGAAAACAGTTTTTCCTACTTAATAGTTTTAAGGAAACTGACTATTTTTGATAATTAGACAATTCCAAAGTCTTTATTTAAAACAGAAACCTTTTGTAACATTATAAATGTCTTTACTGTTACTTTTAGACTTTGCCTGCCTAGATCTCTCCTTGCATCAGGGGTCAGTAAATTTTTTAATTTTTTGATAAATGCTACAAAATAAATAACACACCCCTTTGGTAATAAACTAAATAAATGTAATAAAAATAAAACAATACAAATATTAATATATTTTAAAATGTAATTTATTCTATTAATTCAGCTTTGTGATGCAAAGCTGAATTTTCTTCAGTGTCAGAAGAAGAAGTGTCATTTGCTGCTCAAGGAACATTACTTTTATTATCAATGCTAAAAACAGTTGTGCAGCTTGTACAGAACATTTATTTGAAATGGAAATCTTTTGTAACATTGTGAATGTCTTGACTGTCACTTTTGATTTAATGCATCCTTGCTGAACAAAAGTATTAATTTATTTAAAAAAAATAAAAATAAAAACTTACTGACACCAGACTTTAAAACAGTAATGTACTTAGTTTTTCCCTTTTCTACTTGTAACAATACGAGGAAGTTATTTGTGTCACTCGAGCATCACATTCAAGCTAGTCATCATCATCTTTCAAACTGCACCTGTCACAAACACGTGAACACCCACTGTGATTCTGTTCATCATTGTTGTTTTGGCAGCTTAATGTGAGGAATATTCCGCATGTGCATCACCACATGGAGTTCTGAAGAAAACAAACTTCCCCTAGATAAACGTCTGATGATAAATTCAGTAAAATATGCACAAGTCACGACAGATGCTTTTCTTTAGTAGACTGACTTCATTACATCAGTGAGGATCAGACTATTATCTGATTTAATGTTTTAACTTGCAGCTCCCTGCCAAAGCCAATTTTAACTGCACTTGGTACACAATCATTATAAATAATTTCTCAGAATGTCTTAACTTCTCCTGGTAATGTATTATGTATTATGAAAATCTTTAGTCTGGGACACCCCTAATATATATATATATATATATATAGTGCCGTGAAAAGGTTTTTGCCCCCTTCCTGGATTTTTTTTTGGTTGGTTTTTTTGCATATTTGTCACACTTAAAAGATTCAGATCATCAAACAAATTTTAAAATTACACAAAGATAATGCAAGCAAATACAAAATGCAGTTTTTAAATGATGATTTCATTTATTAAGGTAAAAAAGCTATCCAAACCTACCTGGCCCTACGTGAAAATTTAATTGCCCCCTCGAGTTAAAACATGAAAGAACTGTGATTAACCACATTATTTTAGAAAACTGAGTTAATTTTCACTAGCCAAACCAAGGCCTGATTACTGCCAGACCTGTTGAATTAAGAAACCACTTCAATAGAACCTGTCTGACAAAGTGAAGTATGCTTAAAGAGCAACACATCATGCAGCGATCTAAATAAATTCAAGAACAGATGAGAAACAAAATAGTTGACATGTATCAGTCTGAAAAGGGTTTCAAAGCCATTTCTAAGGCTTTAGGACTCCAGCGAACCATGGTCAGAGCCATTATCCACAAATGGAGAAAACTCAGAACAGTGGTGAACCTTCCCATGAGTGGCCAGCCTACCAAAATTACTCCAAGAGCGCAACAACTCACCCAGGAGGTCATAAAAGAACCCAGAACAACATCTAAAGAACTGCAGGACTAACTCGCTTCATTTAAGGTCAGTGTTCATGATTCAACAATAAGAAAGAGACTGGGCAAAAATGGCATCCTTGGGAGAGTTCCAAGACAAAAGCCACAGCTGACCAAAAAGAACACAGAGGCTCGTCTCACATTTGCCAAAAAAATATCTTAGAATGAGACTGGGCAAAAACAGCATCGATGGGAGAGTTCCAAGGCAAAAGCCACTGCTGACCATAAAGAACACAAAGGCTCGTCTCTCATTTGCCCAAAAATATCTTGATTATCCCCAAGACTTTTGGGCAAATATTCTGTGGACTGTTGAGACAAAAGTTGAACTTTTTGGAAGGTGTGTGTCCCATTACATCTGGCATAATACCAACACAGCATTTCATAAAAAGAACATCATACCAACAGTCAAACATGGTGGTGGTAGTGTGATGATCTGGGGCTGCTCTGCTTCTCCACATAATTGATGAATTCTGCACTCTATCAGAAAATCCTGAAGGAGAATGTCCGGCTGTCAGTTTGTGACCTAAAGCTCAAGAGCACTTGGGTTCTGCAGCAGGACAATGATCCCAAACACACCAGCAAGTCCACCTCTGAATGGCTCAAGAAAAACTAAATTAAGGTTTTGGAGTGGCCAAATCAAAGTCCGGACTTAAATCCGATTGAGATGCTTAAACAGTCCATTCATGCTTGAAAACCCTCCAATGTGGCTGAATTAAAACAATTCTGCAAAGAAGAGTGGGCCAAAATTCCTCCACAACGATGTGAAAGACTCAGTCTTTGCCAGTTATCGCAAACGCTTGATTGCAGTTGTTGCTGCAAAGGGTGGCACAACCAGTTATTAGATTTAGGGGGCAATTAATTTTTCACGTAGGGCCAGGCAGGTTTGGACAGCTTTTTTCCCTTAATAAATGAAATCATTATTTCAAAACTGCATTTTGTATTTACTTGCATTATCTTTGTGTAATATTAAAATTTGTTTGATGACCTAAATCTTTTAAGTGTGACAAATATGCAAAAAAATTTAAAAACAGGAAGGGGGAAAAAACCTTTTCACGGCACTGTGTATATATATATATATATATATACACACACTCACACACACACACATATATATATACACACACACACTGTATTCAGTAACTCATCAACAGAACTAATGAAAGTGTACCTGCACTCCTGCCTTACAGGCTCCTTCAATGGCGTGGTAGTCGACAGCAGCGCAGCGCGGGCATGCGCTAGAGCTCTCCCACAGGAAGTGGAATGTGCAGCCGTCACAGGTCCCTGCAGGACACTCACTGACACAGGACAGAGGAAGTCAAACTAAACTGGAATTGAGCTACTTTTACACTACTTTTGTTGCCGCAGGTTTTTTTTTTTTTAGGTTCTAGCAATCTCCTTGTAATGCAGTTTCGACCGAGGGGACCCCTCATGGAAGGAAAAACCATAGTGGGAAAAAAACACAGTGGGGCTAGTTTTAATTAACAATTGTGCTGGTTTTGTTTGAGACCTGACAACCCTGAATGAAACCATCTTAGAGCGATCTTAAACACTGTCTAAAAAATTTTTTTTTCAATTTATAATATTATAATAGATGTAATATAATTGTTATATATCATACATGTAATTACATAGTAATTACAACAATATTAACAATCCATAAAAATAAATAAATAAATATACACTTACGATAATATAATAATGTAATTTATTGTAAAGTTTTATGTAATTATAAATAAAACATAACCAATAACTAATATATATATATATATATATATATAAAAATATATGACCAATAATTACATTAATATTAATAATCTATATTATAAATGCAACAAAATAAGTGACGACACCTTTGGCAATAACCAAAATAAATTTAATAAAAATAAAACAAGACAAATACATCAACTCAGTAACCCTGCAGTGAGGTGATTTGATACGGCATGATGGGAGATGCCCTGTGCCAAATTTAAACTGCATTAACAGCAGTGTGCTTGTTTATGTATGTGTGTGTGTGTGTGTGTGTGTGTGTATACCTGGGCACAGATAAGTCTCCCCTCATTGTTTTCTCCGGGTTACAGCGCAGTGAAACCACTGCATTCCTGCCTCTCGGACATGAGGTTGTGACCTGTGTAGATCTTTACAAATAAAAGGCGCCATTAAACACGTAATGGATGATAGAGGGAAAATAACATACATCAAACTTTATTAAAAAAACCCTACAACTAAAACCCCAGATAACCATATGAGAGGAACTTTAAGAGGCACTTTAGGTTTGATGACGTAAACGCCAGTACCGATAGAAGAAGTGGACATCTGGGATTCTCTCGGATGCAGATGGAAATAGTTCTGGTCTGGTGGTTATTCCGTTAAGAGATTTCTCCACTGTGGCTCCTGTGGCACAAACACACACACACACAACCTGTCTTAGAGGACACATGGGGGTGACAGGCAGCACTGCAGGAAGTGCTTAGTAAGCAGGACCACCCGTAGATTCAAGTAATTAATCGTATTTATCACTAAACAAGAAGCCCGTTTTATATATGCTGAGTTTTATACCCGAGAACACAGATGACAGGCACTCTGTGTAGAATTAAAGCAACAGAAAACTACAGCACATTTTTAATGGCTGGAGCTTGTTTAAAATTAACGGCTCTGACCAGTACATATTCTAAATGTCAGAATATTATGATCGTTTTATGAAAACATGAGTTCACCTTTGAATCGTACAAAGAACATATAACAACATTTGTATGTGAATATTGTGTTCCATCTAGGTCCCAATAATGATTAAAGTTGGAAACATGCATTGTGTCACGAATTCGGTCCATAGACTTCCGTTTATTCACCACCAGAGGTCACCCTTTCCATTACATTGACTCTCGCACAACACAAACTATGCAACATAGCACCCTGGACTACATATCCCATCATTCTTTGCACGATTTGCACACTGCACTGATTGCACACAGCTGTTTCTAATCACCTCACTCACTATATAACACCCACTCTAACCACCTTTCTCTGCAGAGTATTGTTTAGCCTGTACCCCTTTCCGAGTCTCCGTGTTTTCCTTGTTTTGCCTTACCTGTTTTTGCGGTTTCTGATCTTTGCCTGTTTTCTTGGATTTCTCCCTCTCGTCTCGCCCCTGTGATTCTGTCTGCTGATTGGTGACCTACGCTAGCCCTGGGACTATTCTTGTGTTTTGCCCGCCATATACCTGTTTGCCATTGTTTTGACCCTGCCTGTTTACCACGTCTCTTTAATAAAGCCTGCAGATGGATCCACACGTCTCACATCTCGTCAGCCACGTTACACATTGATGCATATGTTTTAATTTTTTCATTATTATATTTCTGAAAAAAATCATTATGGTATTTCATTTTAATAATGAAACAATGTTATAAAATAATATACAAACATATAAAATGTAAATGGAATATTTAAAGAATAATACAAATTGCTATATTTAATTAATTTAATTCAATATATAGTAATTACATAAAAAAGTTAAATATTACATAATATATTGTTTCCAGGCAGGAATGTTGGGGTGTTACAGGATTACTTATGTGGAAGGTGTGTGGAAAACGTTGCTATTCTGTTTCTTGTATACATAAAAATATATATTTTGCATAATTATCCTCATATATATATATATATATATATAATGCATTATAATAGTAAAGACAAAAAAATAACACTGTATGAAGATGTTTTATAGTTGCCACAGTCCCCAAGTGGTCTTCTCATTAACAACAGCAGCGCTGACAATGTTTTTGCTCATAGGTGATATTTCATACTTATTGAGCTTTGATGATTAAACTGCAAATGATTCTACTTCAGTTAGAAGTCCCATCGGGATTTGAATTATAATTAAATATGCCATTAAGGATGCTTTTCTCCATTATTTACATGTAATGGAAAGTCTGTTAAACATTTAATTGATGTCATAATTTACTAATAAGTCTGCTAAAATTAATATTGTAAGTAATTCAAATGAATGAAATATGGACATGCACATCACAAACGCTACACTATTAAGAAGTCAGAATACATTTTTAGTTTTGAAATTATGAAATGATCTCACCCTGAAAAGTGTCGGCCAGGCTAATGGACTGAGAGGAAAGAGCTGTTCTTAAGCCCCGCCCATCAGATGGGATAATCGTTGATTGACAGAGAAAAGCCTCCACTGAACTGCCCAGCTGACCACCTTCAGCGTCCTCATTGGGCAGGTTTGTGACATTATCTCTGCAGACCGCAGCCTTGTGACCCTGACAAAAGACAGATGAAGGAATAAATAACATTATTATGTAATTTCTGCTTATTTCAGGTGTTGGTGTCGTACCTCAGCTCCACACAGGCTGATATTGAAGAGGTGGTAATACTTTGTGCCTTTCCCAGTGAAGCTGGGCCCGTTCATGATGGACCCAGTGGAGTTCAGAGCACTGAAGTCATACCGAAGTGTCCGATTCTGGTCAGTGCATGTGAACAAACAGTCGCTGAAACACACACTGTGCTCCTAAAATTGAAACAAGAGAGAACGGTCAGCAGTGTTTCCCACAGACTTACACTTTTTGTGGTGGCATATATGCGCAAATTCATTCTCTGCCAGCAGGAGGCGCTTAGAGTGGGAGAAATAGAGGTTTCCCCGATAACGGCTGTACACAAAGCAGCGCTCCGCTCACAAACGCTGCTTTTTCAGACATTACATGCAAAATGAAATTAAAATGACATGCAAAATTTTCTGAAGACAGTCGGTTTCCTTCAGAGATATAAAAGATATACAGTGATATAAAAACACCTGCACCGGGTTTCGATTTTGAAATGTGCAGTGCTCATATTTATTCAACGAAGTCAAAGCCTTTTGGAAAATCTATTTGTGGCGGTCAGTTTTGATATTGTGGCGGGCTGCCACAAATAGATCAATGTATGGGAAACACTGGTCACACACTTATTAGTTATCATTATTCCTGATGCACTTTCAGTAAGGCCTATTTTCTCAACCACTAATCTAATGGAATTAAGACTTATGTATCTGTTTGTTTGTTTGTTTGTTTGTTCAATTCAAAATTATACATTTGACCAATTTACATAATGACTTAAATTAACCGCATTTTTCATACAAAGTGACCCTTCACCATATTTTTTTTTCAGTAGCTTCTGAATATTTATAGTGAATAGTGATAAATGTCCTTAACCAAACTTTTGAAAATATTACATTATATAACGTATTATAATTAAAAGTTTTATAAATTACCCCATAGAAAGAGCCATGTTTCAAAAAGAAAATCAATAATAATAATAATAAATTATTTATCATTTTTTTTACAATTCATTATTTTTATATTTAGTAAGAAGAAAAAAAATAAAATTAATAAACAAATAAATATATCTAGAAATAAATTAAAACAAATTTATAAGTGCTATTCTGCCACCTAAAAAACAGAGAAACAGTGGTTGAAATACCTTGTTGCTTTTGCTGCCTGGCCCACACGGCTGACACACTTCTTTGCCATAGATGTGATGCCCAGATAGGACAGCATTAGGAGGGCACTCTTGGCACTGGTTGGTCTCTTTATCAATGTAGTGTCCAGCTGGACAGGGCACACAGGAGGAGCCGGACTGCTGAGACTGCAGGGCACACACCCGACACGCTGATGCCACTCCATCCATGGCATTAGTGACAGTCACAGAGTAAATCTTCACCATGTCATTTACATACTGACGCACCTGATGGACAGTGGGAACGACCATTATGACTACTGTCATTCTGTAAACACGTTTTTTTTATCAGTGTGAGTGTGAATGTATTTGTACTGACATCACTAGCCTGACTGGTGCGTTGAAAAGCCCAGGTGAACACAACAGAAGAGTCTTCAGTCATGATGTGTGTGTAACTCTGTTTGCTTTTACTCCCCTCCCATGATTCAATGACATTTGTGCTCCTTCTGTTCACATCCTGAAGCAACAACAAAATCAATAACACTTTAAAAAGAAATTAAAGTCTGACCACTTTCAGTAAACGTAAACCTTCATTTAAGTAGTGTGAGAGCGCAACGATGCTCTAAATGTGTTGGTGTGTAGGTTGAGGACACTTCGTATATGCATCCTACAGAGGATGCGACCTCCAGAGGATTCGACCTCTGGAGGGTGCAGCCTTCTAAATGAGACACAGAATTTATATACCATGCTCACTCTGTCTGTCGTTGCTGCAGTATTGTATTTGTTATCTGATGTTGATGTTGTCTAAAGTTACATCGTGTTATCTGTTCCCAGTGTTTTTGGATTACCTTTTGCCACGTTTTTGTTCTGTTCTGTTTATTTATACTTTAATAAAACTGCACTTGGATCTTACCTTGTTTTCTCCTGGCATTCCGTGACAGAACACAATACTGCAGCAACGACAGAGAGTGAGCATAGTATATATAGATGGGATGATGAGTAAATGGCTAATAGGTGATCATGATCAGAACAGAAACGACAGGCAAGGGACTATGGGAAATGGAGTTCAAAACATATAACACTGAAACAGGAGAGTGCCCTCAAGTGGCCAGTCCAGGGCACCACAACCAGACACTGTGACATATGATGGGTTAATTTTTTCTTAATCTTAATTTTTTTTTTTTGGGTGGACAATGTTTTTAAAACCCTTGTGCAGTCTTCGGTCACTTCTGACTGGAGAATTTCACGTTTTGAATTTTTAAAAATCGTAGCTTCACCAGAATGGTACGAAACTTGGTGACTTTTATGGCACTTGGTATGTGAACACAAAACAAAATTGAGGGCATGATTCAAAAAAGCTAAGTGGTCGTAAAAAAAATAATCACACTCGTGGTCTTCGGTCAAAAATGACCGACCATAGGAAATTAATGGGAAAAAAATCGAAAATACAGAAATGTTTTGTGGTGTACAATTTACAAATCCCCCACAATGCAGAAAAAAATTGCACAGCAATGAAGGGGTGAAACTCTAAAACATCTAGAGTGCAAAAATCAACACACCAACTCACACACGCGCGGACACACACTTGTACACACACACCTATGAACTGGTGTGACTGTAACACTGCAACTTTGTAAAATAAAATCAATAATTCAACTACAATGCAGTAAAAAAGAAGGGGTTACACTCTAAAACATCAAGAGTGTAAAACAGATACATCCACTCACACACACACACACACACACTCACAGACACACACATACAGAATTATACATAATCAAATGAATTGACATGGCTATAAACATATAGACAAAATGAGTCAGAAGACTGAAATAAGAGGTTAAAATCAGATCAGACCCAGAAGGATTAAGCTCTGATAAAGCATTCCTGTTCATTTTTGTTACATTTTTATAGAATTGTAATGTTTTGTGGAACAAAATGCTTTGTGTTCAGGTTTGAATGTAGTAATAATAATGCAAAAACCTACACTTCAAATCAACATTTAAAACAACAAAAAATATAAACCTTGACAAAAAGTAGTCTTTGAGAATGCCTTAATATACATTTAAATCCACAACCTAATAAAAGTAAACAATTATGTATAAAAACAACTAGGGAATTCATAAGCCTCTCTATAGTCCTATACAGGAGTCTAGTGGTTACACCATTAAATTACAGGTTTTTCTTTTTTTTTTTGCTCTCACCAGGAGGTGCTATTCTGCCTTAAAAAATTGGATTTTAAAGGCTTAGTCTCTATTTTAATCTGAAAAACTGCATTAATTGAAAAATGCATACTATTTTCAATGGGAAAAATGTATCATAATTATTGCATAGATATTAATTAGCACCATAAAATTCTCTCAAAATACAAAGGAAAAAATATTATTGAACAAAAATATATTAGACTGATTTTACTGTAGAAAAAAAAAAAGTTACATTTCAGATGTCCGGTCACTTTTGACCGCGAAGACCACGAGTGTGACTCCCAAATGAGGAGCGCACTTAAAGGGGTACTAAGTATTTTTCTTTTTTTTTTTGCATATGTTGTGAATCTTCATCTCATGTGAACGTGCATGATTTTAAACATATTCTACCCAGTTTCATTAGAAATTGTAGTCATTTCAACATAATTACTTACAGCAAAATTGCAATAACTCATTCAATATTTGTCGTACAAAAATATACAACCTAAACCCAACCATAAACAACACTTTACCCCAAACCTAAATTTAACAGTGACTGTAAAA